TCGTTAGCGAGACGGGGGAAGGAGAGAAAAATGGGACATACCTCGATCTTTATGTACTTCTTTCTGGTTTTGTATGTAGATGCGTCGGTATTGGCGCAGCGAGGCCGGCGACGGCGGCGTCGGGAGGCAGGGACTCGGCGGGTGCGAGTTGGTGAGGTGAAGGTGCGGGGGAAGGCGGAGGGCGAGGGCAAGAGAGTAGAGAGTGGCGGAAGGAGGAAGTCGACGTGGCTGAAAAGTGTCGTTAGCGCGGGCACCAAAAAAGACAGCGGCGACACACGTAGACGTCGCAGTTCTCTAAGGCAGTTTGAGTAACAATACAAACTCGTGTCCTCGTTTCCGTCAGAATCGTAACCGTTGCAGATGAGTGAAAAAGTCGATGTTCAATTTCAAGACGATCATCGATGCACGAAAATTAAAAGCCGGTAGGCGACGGAGCGGCCTTGTTCCGCAAGTCGTTCGTATACAGCCCTATTTGATCCACTTGGTCCACCCAGAGGGACCACGCTCTTCCTACCCTGAATCAAAGTTAACCCAATGAATCCAGAAAAGAAACGAGATTCCTGACAATGTCAGAGCTGTGGTGCCAGTATCCGTTACCTCGCGCTGGTTGAGAGCATTTGGGGCTGTTCCGCCGCCGAGAAGGATGCCTTGAAGCTGGACGGTCGCGTCCAATTTGATGTAAAAGGAGCTGAAAACGGCATCCCGAACGGACGGGGCGCGGACGGCCATCCCGTGCCCCCTGCGCCGAATGAACAATGTGAAGAAAGGGCAATGGTAATATATACCGCATTAACACGACCTGAGGAAAAGTTAGCGACGAAATTAGATCAGAAATTCCAATTTACCTGGCTATCATTCAAGAAGGTATTTGCGAGGGCATCTCCTAAAGCTTCGTTCCGAACGAGTAGATCGTGAAGCTGATTGTCTGGCAGTACAGTCCTCGGCAGAGTCCGTACGTCGAATATCGGGGCGCCGCATGAACCGAGCGAGGGGGCCTGCAGACATTGTCAACGCACAAAGAAGACTATGATCGAAGGAGAAATGACTGTGTGCATCTGGGAAACCAGAGGAACCCCGGCTTGATTGGCAAAGGGGAGAATCTCTTGGGTATGGCTATGAAGAACTGCTAGAACGTCGGGGAACTTTTTGTATATCTGCAAATGAGGTCGATAACGGTGAACTCTACCGAATCGTGGGCTTACTTCGGAATGAATGAACCTCTCCGCAAATCCGGTGGGGGTTGCAGCACCGACCACAGATGAATTGAAAGTGAGGCCGACGGCTGTTGCGTTCTCGACCTCATATCTTGCGGAGTTGAGCCTTCGTAAAATTGCAGAAAGAATTGAATACATACGTGACTATGGATTGTGAAGTTGCCTGGGCTGGCGCAATGGCGAAAGTCCTGCGGGTCCATTGATTTCAGAGGAAAACGCGCTCAAAATCAGACCGAACATCAGGAATTGACTAGAATTGTCCGGGTTTCGAAGGCTAACGTGCCCGAACGCGTCCACGACTTCCAGAAAATGCAAAATATCTGGAATTGAGAATGAGACACGGAAAAAAAAGGTGAACAGGGTACTTGCGGCTTGCATCCAGAAGGTCAATGCCAGCAGACATTACTGATGGGGGGACATTTTGTGCAGATACGAGCCTCGACAAGAGCAAAAATGATGCAAGAAAATGGTGGAGGGTCGTGGTACGCTGGTAGGCCATTCTGGGGGTGGGAGGAGACTCGGTCAAACGTCATACATTTTTGTATCGCCCGACCCCATGACGGGTGCCTTGAAGCCACGCCCTTCAGGCCGTTCGCGAGCGGAAGCCCGGTGAGAAGCTGAGGTGTCGGGCCGACTCGTGCGAATCCACAGTGCCATTTACGGAATGATCGAAGTACATGCTCTCTCTCCTCCGTCATGTCAGAACTCAACATGGCTCTGAGTTTCGCAGACTCCCCGTATTTATGATAAAAAATGCACACACTTCCGGAGGCAACAAAGATATTCCGGCTCCTCCGCAGCTTACTACAGTCGAATCGGCGCAAGAGACAGCACTGGCCCGCACCTGGATATCGCAATTTCGTGCCTTGGGTGGCATTCCAAAGTCTGCGGTGCAACTTTCTTTCTCGCGGAGCTCGGGTCCCGGTGGGCAGGTATGCTTGAGCGCTGCATGGCGGTTCGTTGGTAAGACTGCCGTCTCAGAATGTAAACAAAGTCAACACCAAAGTTACGCTCAAATGCGGCATCGATGAAAACTGGATACCGTTGTGGGCCAAACCTGCGTTGAAGCAATCTGTGAGTTTATGTGACGATCAACACTCTGCATGCATTTAAATTCGAGCAGCCGCACTATGTATCCTCCTCGCAGTCTATTCAAATCACGTCAACAGTGCATCGATCCCAGTCGCACAATATAGAAGAATGTCTATCCAAGGTTGATTTTTGTTGAGTTTGGCAGACGAAGCAGGGCTCACTTCACGACAGTTACATGCATTGCTGATATCAGCGTCGTCGTCCACGCTGAAGAATGAACCTTCTGAAGCTCAGAAGCAACGAGTGAAGGACTTGGTCAAAACTGCCGACACCAAGAGACGAGTTGAAAAGACGCATCGTAGTCGGATCAAAGCAGACAGAAAGGCTCGTCCGGACTGAAGAAGCTTTCTCCTGAGCTTCGCCGGGGCTCGATGCGCGGAATCCCGGAGGAAAATGGTACGAACACTAGAACATACTCGTCAGACTCTGTGTTCCTTATTTTGGAGATAAGATGAAATAGGCCATCCAACCTTGACGCTCAATAGTCGGAGCCGGAAAACACGAGCTGGAGGACAGAAAACACTACATAATCAAGCCTAATATTTTCCCCTTTTGCTCCTTCTGTTTCGCATTATCAGTGTGAAGACAACCAAGTTGGAGTCGTTCAAGTTCGTCCTATTGCGCATCAATTCTGAAAACTAAGTGAACCTCGAATTCTGCAGCTCTTTCGCAAGAAATTCGAAGAGCTTGTACTAAAGGAACACCGGAAATAACAATGATTTCGTGACTGTCAGCTTAATTGCCGGCCTCTCTGCTCAAACCTTGGCTGTATTGTTCGATTAAATCATCGCAGAGCAAAGATGTTTCTTGTCTTTGCATGACTAGCACTTGACACGTCTAGTATATAGATCTCACAGTTGTCTGAAAACTCCCAGAAATTCCGGTCCTTGTATTCAACGTTGCCCTCAAACCCCACAGCCAAGAGGTCCAAAAGTTGTGGGTCCGTGGAGGTGGCACGACCGAAGTGACGTAGCGCGTGACGGGTCGGTGACGCGACGCGTCGTAGCTTTCCTTGAGCTTTCACTTGCTCAGTGTCAACTCAGTGTCTCTCTCTGCAGCATTTACTCTCAGCATGCCCCCGCCTCCTCCTCGCAAGCTAAAAGCGTCTACGACGAGAAAAAAGCAAGTAAAAACTATCATCGTTATCGACGTGAGCAAACTTTCTTTCATTCGCCTTTGCACTGCAAATCTGACGGACAATTCGCATTGCTTAGTCGGATAGCGACTCACAGCCAGATATCGAGATTATCTCTCGCCCAACTCCTACTGGCCTTGATACCTCCGTCTCTACTTCTGCTTCCACTGCACGCACCTCCATTTCTACTAGTACGCTCGCGGCTTCCGCATCTGCTTTCGCGCCCGCCTCTACTTCTGCCTCCACGTCAGCGTCCACTTCTACGTCCTCGTCTGCCATGTCCGCCTCTGCTTCCACTGCGCGCACCTCCGCCTCTACTTCCACTCCCACGGCCGCTACCGACTCCTCCTCCGCATCCAACTTCGCCACATCTGAGTCGCCTACCGGCTCCGCCGCTGAGAATGCAGTCCTTGCCGATGCGTCGGACACGATGGACGTGGACGAGGATGACATTAAAGGAGTGAGGGGTATGACTACGCTGGAGTGGCTGCATTACTGGACGGACGGCTACGAGGAGTCGCTCATGGCGGTAGACACTTCCTTTCTCATGTCTGCGGGTATTGAGGCCACATTGAGACGTATGGACAGCGTGGATTTAGATGTTGTGTTCGGTTCTGACACAGCGGCCGCGCATGCTGCTACCACAGATGTGTTCTTCCCCAATACTCTATGGCGCAGCATGTTGCGCAGACTTAGGCGACCACGAGAGATATGACGCCGCACGAGGACGTATAGAGGCTGGGTTTGTTCGGGGGTTAAGTATCTTGATCTGGCGATATTGGTTGCCGGGTGGTCGTGAAAGAAGACTTCGAGAATGAATTATGTCTGTGAAAGGTTTCAAGTTGCAAACAGAGAGAGAAATAGAACAGAGGAAGAGACTCAGTATATCATAATGTATGTAGAACACTGTTCCATGCTGAATCGAGTTCAGGTTTACTAGTACTTGATAAGACCGCCCCCATTACCTATTTAAATGTGTTTGCGTGTCGCAATGAATTCATACTCTGTCTGTTCAGCACAAAACTGCATCAACCTGTACTACTAGTTGTTTCAGCTCCGCATTCTCAGTGGTCGGAACCACCGCTGGAGTTTTTTCAATAAGGAGCTTCCAATGTGTATTAATAATTCAACTGCCCACGCCGGTTGACTCATGAGGATACATTCAGCAGTATATAACAAGGTCTCACAATTGTCTCAAGAAAGTCTAGACGCTCAGAGGATACTGAGATGGTCCGATAGTATAGTACTTATACACTCGGTATGTCGCTCTCAAAGAAAGCTTTATGATTGGGATGCTTCCCAGTGGAACTTTAAATATTATGCTAGCAGTCTTACTTGTTTAAAAGCTCTCTATTCCTCGGATTCGGGACGACCATTGGATGGTTTTCGACGTCGCTCTTCCAATACATGATTCAACTTCCCACGTTGACTTCTAAAGGATGCATCTAGTATACAGCTCTCACACTTGTCTCAAAACTCCTACAAGCTCCGATTTAGGTATGTTAACTCCCACGAGAAGCCTTCCTTGTCGATATACTTCAGGTAGGTCGTCTTCAAACGCCCCTGTTGTCTAATGGTTATGACGTCAGACTTCTACGTTTCGACCCCTGGCGAGACTCGTAGCCGTGGATCTGGAGGTTGCGAGTTCGAGTCTCGCCAGGGGTTCTTTTTTCTGCGTTTTTACGCTTTTCTTGCACCCCATTTGAAGCAGAGGAAAGCGTTTCAAGGGCGGAATCATTTTTTGATGAGTTTGATCAAGATTTGATGGGAAGTAAACACCGGTTGATGGGGAAATTGATGGGAAGATTTGGTGGGTTAGTACCAGGGTTGTATGGGGGAAGGGACAGTGGGAGCTGTTCGAAGTCGTAGCAGGACTTATCTCGAATTTCGGACGAAAGTTTCAGGACGACAAGAAGATTGACGACTCGGAACTTGAAGCACAGAAAACGGTTTCATTGCTGGACAACTTGCTCAACATCGCGTCTGTCAAGACTCGGACTACTGTAAGTTACTGAAGCTCCACTTTTTATGCCAGTGATTGTGTTTCCTCCCGACACGACAGCGAGACGAGAATCGGCTTCATGTCCTGCAACAAGATCACAATGTTGATATGAGCAACGTGGATGCTCTCTAGCATTGGTGTATGTCGTTTTCGTGCGGTGACATTAATTCTGAATTCAAGAACTATATCTACGGACGCAGCAGTAGTCAGTGATATACTCCACCGGAAATCAGCAACGTTGCATGGCTTATATGCGATAGAGACCATGGAAGTTTATGGCACGAGTCACAACGTCTTTTGACGCTTTCCCCAAGTCCGCCGGCTCGACTTCCAATAATGCAGGAAGTTATACCAGATGCAATCGCGAAATTAACGTCCGGAAGTGAGCCTTAGACCGCCAATGCAAGAGATGGTCTCGAGGAACAAGAAGGGTGGCCGTTTTCCTTGTCTATATTGCAGACAAACCCGGAGAGGAGATGGTCAATTCGTCGCACACAGTAGCTGTAGTCTATTGCTGGATTGACTCGGAGCATTACAGTGATTCTCGGATTCTGGTGTTTGCAATGGCTGCAAATCAATTTAATCAGGCGACAGATTATTAGGTGGGAGGATCTGAGTTGGTGGCAAGGAGTATTTTGTGTTTCAATTGCCGAAAATTAATTCGACTAGGCCGGTATTCGAGGACAAACCACTGTACGAGTTGGTGGCAGGCTCGAAAATTAAATTTAAGTTGGTGGCAAAACGTAAACAAGTCACGCGAATTTCCTTTTTAGGAGGTTGTGCTCTCTGTCTTCTACCGTCATCATCTCACCACCGGACGCGCTGCCCTCGTCTTCGGCCTTCTATCCGCCATGGACTACGAGTCCTCAGACATTCTAGGCGCCAACACACTCCCTGTGCGCACTCCTAGCTCTATGAATGGGTCTGGCTACCTCAAAATCACCATATGTCTCGTTGTGCTCCTTGGCGTCTATGTGGCTGCAGTGCGCGGTTGGACGGAGCTTTTAAAATGGCGCGAAAAATCCTACCGTTTGTGAGTCTGTTGAGGTGCACACGTCGTCTTGTTTCTGACGCGCATATCTTAGGTCAATGCGAAGGCAACACGGTATTCCCGACTCGGACCACCGCCCGTTCAATGTGGCTTATGCTGCGGTCTTACGAGCACGCCGCGAGGAGGAAGTCGCTAATAACCGAGTTGACGTCGATGAGCTGTATGCAGAAGCCGATCGACGTGCTGCACCGGTTGATTCAGATATTCGGCAGCGCAAAAGTATGTTGGTGTATTTCCGTCGTAGTCTTATCTAACGCGCGCCCGCACAGACATGTACCGTATATCTCCTCCAACTTGGACAAAAGGTGCTGTAAGCGGTTTACCTGGGAGGCATAATGCGCTGGCGCCGGACAACAGATTTGCGGCGCCCTCAAGTGGACTTCCAGCGTGCGTTTTCTCTACCTTCTTTCTCAAGTATATATCCATACCTCTCGCCAGATCGTCTTCGTTCCAGACCAATTTTGCTGAACGGTATAATCCAAACCCTGCACCGTCCGCGCATGTAGTTCGTTTCGCCGATGAAATACAAGATGCTAGCCTTCCCCGTCGTGGCAGTGCAACCAACTTGACTGCCAGTCCGCGGAAGCAACAAAAGCGTGCTCTTGAAGACTACGAAGTGGAATCGGATGTGGCTGAGCTTCCCAAAAAGACACGCGTCGAGGGCGATGAATTAATTGATGGCGATGAGGACGCTGAATGGTCTCTACCTCGGCAGCGTGGTGAAAAGCGCGTTTTACACGACGAAGATTTCGAGGAGGATGTTGCAGACGAAGAAGACGAAAATGTCGCTCGCGGCAGGCGGGCGCGGGGCAAACGTGCTCGCAAGGTCAGGGAGAATCCAGATGTCTTCATGACTAGCGACGATGGTGCGGATGAGATGGATGTCGACGCAACGGAATCTCCTGCGTACACCGTACGGGGAAAGAAACGCGACGCCGTCTCCAGTTTCGAAGGAGAAGAAGATGACGAAGAGCAGGCCAAGAAGACCAAGCGAAAGCGACGGTCCAGCGGCAAGATCAAGTCTGCGCCGGCACCATCGAGTTCCCGTGGTCAAAAACGCGACAGGGACGGAGAGGAGGAGGAAGGTAGCGAGGGCGAGGATGGTACACCGGCGACGTCGAAAGGTTCTTCCCGTAAGACTAAGAAGCGGGGTAAGAAGACGAAGGAGGTTAGAGAGGATGATGACGAGGAAGCTGGTGATGCGTCTAAAGGTAAAGCGCGGGCCATCGGCGATCAATGGGAGAGCAATGGTGTCCTGTACAAGATTGGGGCCAACGGTCAACGATTGAGACAAGCCTTAGTCAAGAAGGCGGCTCGGAGGTTCACTATGGTAGGCTATCTTACTTCCGTATTATACTTGATATCTAACCTCATCATAGCCCATGGACTCCCAGCACCCCGACAAAACTGCTAATCTTGAAGTTTGTATTGAAACTTGGTTAACTGAAGAAGAGTACAAGGACCTCAAGAGCAGACACCTTCTTGCTTGGCAAGATTCTCCTAAAGGCACGCAAGAACCGGAGAGCAATCCGCCTACTCCTGCTGCTGAAATGGTACGTGGATTCCACACTCGTCTCTCAGTCCTTATTCAACGATTCGTGTAGCCTTCTACCCCCACACCTGCCGCTCGCGGCAAAAATCTGCTCTGGGATTCACCCGCCTCGCCGTTCCCCGTGTTCGCTCCCAGTCCGGCTGAGAAAGAGCAGCACCGTCCTCAGACTCATTTCCGGCAGTCCATTGCAACGGATGTAGGCATGCGGGTCAACCCTTTCGACAAAGCGAATGCCCTCCACGTCGGCGCAGAAGCTGGCAAAAGTGGTCTGCGGAATGGACGCAGGGTTGGGGCAGGGCGAGACGCGGGCTCTCCGGCGCTCCCTGGACTTGCCGACAGCACGAATAGCGTCGCGGCGCAAGTGCCTGCGGCTCGACGAACGTTTTCGAAATGGGAGAAACAGGATTTGGAGGCGAAGGCGATGATGAAGATGCGGGAGGCAAATCAGGCTAAGCAAAAGGAAAAGGAGCTCAAGGAGAGGTTGGAGAGGGAGAAGAAGGAGGCTGCGGCCGTCCCCGCCATTCCCAGAATTTCGCTCACGCCTGCTGAGCCAGCCAAACCACCCGCCATTTCTTTCACTCCTTCTACGTCTAGCGCCGCCCCTCAGGTGCCGTCATTCAGTCTTGCGCCCTCTACGCCTGCTGCCGAGCCTTCTAAGGCGTTATCAGCACCGTCGGCACCCGCAGATAAACCTCAGCAGCCTGCCACAAACCTTTTTGCGCCGCCTGCATCGGCAGACAAGCCTCAACAATCTATTCCCAACTTCTTTTCAGCACCAGCTGCGCCTCAGTCCGCTTCTACCCCAGCCCCTACTCCTGCTCAAAATCCGTTTGCTCCCAAGCCTCCTGCTTCCCAACAACAACAGCCAAGTTCTGCACCTGCACCGAAACCCGCGACTTCTTGGGCGCCTGCTCCTGCTCCTGCTCCTGCCAACCCCGGTGCTACTACCACTCAGACAACACCTAGCTTCTGGATGAGTGAGGCAGAGGCTAAGGCCAACGCAGAGAGGAATGCGGGACCTGCTACTTTGATTACCGCGGAGATGAGGCGGGCGGAGGAGGCTGAGAAAGCAGCTGCGCTTGCGGCTGCTAATGCTAGAACCGGTGGTACGCCTCTGTTTTCTTTCAAGCAAGCCCCGGCACCGGCTGCGGCTCCTGGGTCGTCGCTTCTATCGCGAATGGCCCCGACGCCGGCCGCCCCGGCTCCCGCTCCCAAACCTGCAGAAACGACGGCTGCGCCTAAATTCTCGTTCATGAATAATAAGCCCGCTGGTGACCCAGCGAAACCGTCGCCATCGCCGTTTGCTGCCCCTCAACAACAACAGGCCGAGCCTGCTAAATCGCCGTTCTCTTTTAAGCCTGTTGAGCAACAGCAGCAGCAGGCTGCCAAGCCCGCCTCGGTGTTTGCGCCTCAGGCTCAAGCGCAGACCCAAGCACCGACGGCGAATCCGGCCGGCGCTGTGACGGCTCCGAAATTCAATTTCGCTTTTGCTGCCAAGCCTGCTGCGGCTGCGGCTGCAGCTTCGACGACCTCATCGTCATCGTTGACAAATGCGCTTGGTCCGAATACAAACACGCCTGCTGCTCCGGCTTCTACGCCTGCTGCTACCACGACCACTGCGCCTGCGTTTTCGTTCGCGCCGCCGAAGCCTGCTGGTGACAAGCCGGCGTTTGGTTTCACTGCACCGAGCGCGACGGCAAACGCTGAGGGAGAGAAGAAGAGTGTGTTTGCGTTCAACTCGGGCGGAGCGGGGACGTCAGGTCCTTCGGCGTTTGGTCCGTCAAGTGGGGCTACTACGCCTTCGCCGTTTGCTAGTGGGTTACAAGCCAATCCCGCTATGTTTGGTGCGACTTCAAGCCCAAGTGCTACCCCTGCCGCCACTCCCGCTGCTTCAGTGTTTGGTACGCCTACGCCCAAGCCAGCAGAGGCGTCGACGGGTACTACACCCGCCGCTCCTACACCTGCCCCCGGGTTCAATTTTGCATTTGGCGGAAATAATACTGCGTCTACGTCTACGACACCGGCTGGCACTCCCACGGCCAATCCCTTCGCTGTGAAGC